TTTACTGTAAACAATTACATAAGAGTAATGGCTGAAGACTTTCTAGGGCAAGTACCAATTGTCTGATACTGCAAAGGACTTTGGTGGCAATAGCACTACCAGGAAGGTCTGTGAGAAAGCCTGGTCTTGTTGCAGTGGGGTCTCAAGTTCCATAATTATTATGGCAGAAACATGTCTAGAAGGACTTTTCATAACAAGCCAAGAAGTACAGTGATATCCCAGTTGAAACTGGTAAAGTTTTTTCATATTACAGTTGGACTTTCATGGTAGCTGTATGGATACCTGGAAAAGGAAATGAAATGTCTGGAAGTAGGAATTACTTCTTTTGCTAGGAACTGAGGCCAATTTCAGAACCCCTTTTGCAGACTACCAGAATGCAACAGGTTATGAGCTTGAGTGCCTGGTTGTGTAGAAGCTGAGAATGAGGTATTTCAGTTTTGAGCTGCTTGCCCTATGTTAGCAACTCTTCTCATTCTTAGATGCAAGGGTGCTTGGTGGATTGGAGCCCTCAAAACACAGTGCTGACTCGTCTTGAGTGAAAAGCAGGTTGGAGGATGTTGCTGAGTCACAGTCATGTGTTCATTAGAAAATTGGCCTGAAAGGTGTGAATTTTGTCACTTAAGGCCTTTGAGTGGGCGCTTTTCCGTTGGATATAGAGAGCTTTGAATCAGGCCCTCAGATGTCACTTGGAAGTTTGCTTTTCGTTTGATCTGGCATTCATCAGTGTTTCTTCTTTGGCTTGTCTTGGTTTTGTAATTTCTGCCCTACTATGTAGAGCTTAGATTAAAAGTTCTCGGTAGATTTTTATTGTCCTTTGAGAAAACAGTACTGTGAAACTTTGTTATTTTCTGTCTTTTTCAATGTGTTAACTGCATTTGATTTGCTGACAATGATGAAGGTTTTTTCTCCTCTGACTTGAAGAACTTAACACTTAGGTTGAAAAGTTCCCAAAAGAAAATATGTATCTACATGTTTTGCCACTTACTCAAATGCATTTAAATGCCTTTTAGGCTCAAATAGTTGTGGTTAAAAAGAATTTATGTTTTCATGAAAGAGCTAGATGTTTAGGAGTAACACCAAGGACTACAGTCCAAGACTGTGTTAACAGAAATCTCTGCCAAAGTAGAGCCCACCAGTTTCTGTTTGCATACCCTGTTTCAACTAAGGGCAAAATTAAGTTATCCTACATTATATCTTGATGTTGATCCCATTCAAGCTGTGCTTTAGTTAAATGGAAGAAGTCGTAAGCTCTTAGATATGAAGAGCGGATTAACAAGAATACAATAAAAACTAAAGCACTTTGCAGTGACATACCAAATAAACAGAAGCAATAACATAGGAAAATTTCCAGTTTATTAGGAAAATGCACTTTACTCTTTTACTTGTCAGTCTTGAAGCTTGGTGGGTTTTGAATTTGAAAATGAATATCATGTTTTAACCTCAGCTGGCAGCGAAGCACCGCATAGCCACTCACTCATTCTCCCCCATAATGGGATAGGGGAGAGAATCAGAATGGTAAAACTGAGAAAACTCATGGGTTGAGATAAAGACAGTTTAACAGGTAAAGCAAAAGCTGTGTGTAAGCAAAGCACCAGGTTTCCATTCCTTCACAGGTTTGTCAGTTCAGTTGATTGCAACACAGGCTCTGGCATGGATCTGTACATGATCCTGGCTGGAGGTGTATATTTTAGAGGCTTGTTTTTTCCCCTCTTGTCGTAATCTGGATGATACAATGGCTAATTGATACCATCAATTCCAAATGTTTGAGTTTATGCAACAGAGGAAGTAGTGACCTGTGTTGAAAAGGAAGAAATGGGCAAATCTAGGAGAAGGAAGAGCTGAAAGTTTCTCCACCTAAAAAGTTCATTTGAGCATAAGGTAAACATTCATCATCATATGAAATACCCTGTACTTCTCAGGTGCCTGAAGATAAGGGTGTAAAGCAAGATGCATGCTTGTTCATTAGCATTACAAAATTAGGGGCATCTTCTGAACTACTGATGTAGTCACAGCTATTTTTTAATTACATGTATTGTCAAAAACGTGAAATTTGTTCTTGTTGATAATGTCCTTTGTTATACAGAAAAACTAGATAAATCAGTGAAGACCTTTGCCTTGAAGCGCCACTTACAGACCTTCATGACAAGTAGTGGAAGGGTAGGTGCTTTCTGTGGTTTCCCACATCATGTCTTGACAGCGGGTTGGATCCCTGGGTGGATGCTTTTGCAGAGTAAGGCAATTCTTATCCTAGAGCAGTTCTGCTCATGAAGCTATTCTGTTCTGTTGTGGCTGGTCGTGTTCCTGCCTGGTCAAGGCCTTCTCAAGCCAATTGTGCCTTTTTGCTCCTCTGCCTGAAGTTACGCAACGAACAGTCAAAAGTTCAGAGGCCTTGTTACCAGAGAGGACTTTGGTTTCTGAGGAAGCTCACTCCCAATAAGGAAGGATATGGATTAAAAATACCATAGTTGTTTCACTGTTTGTTTTTTTTTGCGGGTTTTCCCTGCTCAAGAAGTGGCAGTGAGGCTTAGTGTAGTTTGCTTCAGAAACGGATTCAGGTAAATGCTAAGTAGATGGGGTTTTCTACTGGTTTAACAAACTGCTGAGCAAAACTGGCAGCTTTGCTGCTACCAGCGAGAGAAATGTTGTTGCCTCTTCTTCCTCCCTGCTGTTCTATATAGATATACCTTCTGCCTGGCACCAGCTGCGGTGCCCAGAGGATGCTTCCCTGAGCTTGTTAGGCTGGTGGGAAACTGTCCACATCTTTTCGTCTCCTGGGTTAGTTTTCTCCTAGGTTAGTGAGTTGATTTAGCTCATGTAAGGGTCTTTCAGCTGCCAGAGCTGGTGCCAAGTACGCAGGCAGTAAGAATTAAAAATCCAATGTGGTGGAAGAGAGTAGGCTTGCCCCGTTTTGATAGTTAGTGGTTAGTTAGATTGGTTCAGCCCACATCAAAGAGCACTTTGCAGCCCACCTTCTAGATTGGGACAAACAAAAACCAGAGGTGGTGGTAGGCAGGGTAAGAGCCTCACTGGATCTTCCTGCAGTGGCTGTGAATTCCTGTAGATGTGCTGAAGTAACACTGATGCTTGTGGGGAGAGAGAGCCCTCATCACTATGAGGATTATCCAGAGTGGCTCCATGGCCCAGGTTCTCCTACACTGCAGAAAGGTGTCTGCTGCTTGATTTCTGGGAAGTATTGATTCATCGGGAGTGCAGGTTATTGTAATTGCCGTTATGGCTGGAATTTTATGGAGAACAAGCACGTGACACACAGAGCTCTTTCTGCTTTGTCATTCTGCCTGTGGCAGGTTGCCCAAACCAACAAGGGAGAGGCCCCTTGCAGCAGCAGCCTGCATACAGACTCTTTCAAGTCTCTGCCAGAGGTTGCCTTTGGGTTTTGGGGCTATTATTAAAGCTTGGCACCTTTGGCACAGACCTACCTGAAAATAATTAGAGATGTTTATATAAATACCTGTGCTGGAAAAAACCCTAGATTTTTATCTCATTGAAGATACAGTTTTAGGTGAACATTCCTGAGGTTGTTCAGACTTGTTAATAAGGAATAATATATAAGGCTTCAGTTGCTTCAGGTACATGCAGGACTGTAGCTTTGATAATATACTTAAGAAAAAAATCTGGCTTTATGAAGATTGTGACCAACGTTCCAAACCTGTGTCCTTGCTCTTCTCTTTTTACATGCATGTGTGTATACACAAATTAATTCCTACATTCCTTCCTCAAGCTGGAATAGGCCAATTATTATCCATCACTAATATTAACTGGCATAACCATTCTGATCTTTAAACCCCTTTACCAGCATCAGCACAGTACCCTTCCCAGTACCTTTGTAAGATAAAGGAATTTTATTACCAAGTTTCAGAGAAGAAATTGGAGACATTGAAATTACAGCACAATTTTCAGTGACTGCCTTTAGGCTGGTGTGTGTCTGTGAATGCTCCTCAGGTTTGTGGGCTCAGTGCCCAAGGAATGTATAGGCATTCAGTATGGCTGTTTAAGTATGTGCAAGTGTCAGAGTTTGCTCATTAGTGCTGGTTGTGCAGTGTGAAGTATGTATGTGATTAAGTACAAGTATTACTGACCCATTTATTGGAAATTCAGCTTAATGTAATTCAGAGTTATGTGGAGGAAGGCAGAGCTGATAGTGGATTACAATCAAGTATTAGATGTTCTTCTTTTTTCTTTTTCCGTGCCGTATCAAACAAAGTGTCACCAGCGTTCAAGGCCAGGTTGGATGGGGCTTTGAGCAACCTGGTCTGGTGGGAGGTGTTGGAACTAGATGAGCTTTAAGGCCCTTTCCAACCCAAACCATTCTATGATTCTATGTGTAAAGATGTACTTCTTTCCTTTCCACTAATATGCTTAACCTTTTCTCCAATACAGATATAAAATCAATTATGACCAGTGGGCACACAGATCTTTTGCAGACTTTGAATACATTTATTTAGAGGATTTCATAGTATGAGCAATACCATACGACAGAAATTATGGGGGGAGTGGATGGAAAAAACAACTATATCAGTAAATTGAACTGAAAGAAGTTTGCAGGGAACTATTTGCAAGAGAAAAAAAAACCCTTTTAATTCATTTTAAAAAGTATGAGACTGAAAAAATACAGCAGATCAGCATGAGAAAATCTCTTTCTGGGCAAGAAAGGTAAAAACAATAGTTCTGCTTTAAGACTGAAGTTTGAGGATTAGCCCCAGCAAATCTGATTTCCTTGCTTTGTTCCAAGCATGTTGTTAGATTGGCAGAAAGTACTGAAATCCCAGCCAACTCTTGTATGGGATTTTATTAAAGAGAAAAATATAGCAAGTCATCCTAACGTTGCAAATGACTCATCAGTAGCCTTAGGAAACGCTCCCCCCCGAGACAGGCATGCTGCTGATGAGGAAACCACGAAGCTGCCAGGCCACTCCCCCAGGCAGTTTCCCTTGAGGAGCGCTGCCTTCATAAGGGAGGTCTCTCCAGACACTACCTTATTTTACTCTTTATTTCACAGAGGGAGCACAGAAGCTGCAAGAAGGGCAGTGGCATGTAACGGCAGAAAGTTCACAGCCATTTGGTTTTGTACAAGAGGAGCAAACAGAAGAGGATGAGAAAAGTTTAAAGGTAGGGGGAGGTATGTTTTGAGTTTGTAATTTAGTTTTGACATTGAAAGATAATGAGAATAGAGACTTTCTTTTTAAAATTGTAGTTCTTGGGAGAAGAACGGAGGAGATCCATGAGCAGGATGGGATTGTGGTCATGAACGACTTTCCGTGGTAAATTGGATATGGAGCTTGTCCTTGTCCTTGTCCTTGGCCAGCCTGCAGTGGGGTTCTGTGAGGTGGTTTCGAAGGGGAAGGCTGTAATGTATTTTTAGTATGTTTTCATGAAGCATGATTATGAAGAACTAATGAAAAACGAACCAAACTGTAGGGAATAAAAGCTGGAGTTTCTTAATCCATGTGAAAAGAGAAAGCATTTTTCTTAAAAGAAAAAGAGAAGTAGCATGATACAAGTAGTGATCGAAGCAAATTTTATGAGTAGGTGTTGTGGTTTCTCTATATGCATCATAAAGATGATACCGTTCTTAGTAGCTGGGTCTGATGACTGTGTGGGACTTAGTCTGCCCTTAAATTTCACACCATCCTGTCGCCACTGAGCAAGCAGGAAGGTGTACGTTGGGAAAGAATGGCACACCTTGTCTGATTCTGTGCCCCAAAATATGAATAAAGTGAAACTGCATATCATAATACAACATTTGCTCCTTTTTCACTCTTATTCTGCAGTACAGAGTTTGAGCCTGGCCAATGGCTGTGTTGGAAAACCAGAAAAAAGGGGAACTGAGCGCAGAGTTGATTCAGTGGTAGGGTTATATGTTGGGGTGGTGGAACAGGAGGAGAAGAGGAAGGAAGATGAGGTATTTTCAGATGTTTTCACAACAGCCACAGGTGTTTTCTAGGTTTTGTTTCTACTATTAACATCCTACTTAGGGTTATGAACTACTGTTAAAACGTCACTTTCTACAGGCAGATGCACAGACTGTATTTCTCTGGCATTGCTGTGTAACTTGCTGGAGGGATGGAGGATTTTTGTCTTTGCTGGCAGCATTTCTAGGGTAGATGCAACTGTACTTACAGAGAAGGAGGGAATAATCTAACCTCAGAGGAAGGCGACAATAGAATGAGTTGAGCACCAAGAGCTGCTTAATGTAAAATAAAAATAAGGTTAAAAGAAAAAGGAAACTTCATTGTTTGTTTGTTTGTTTTTAATTTTCATTCCTTTTTTGCCATGACTATTTCAGTAGTACTGAATCAAGTCCTACCTAGTTAGGCAGATAGAAACAGTTGAATAAAAATGAGCAGATTTGTGGAGTGAATCAGTATGGGTTTCTTAATTTACTTTTTTGGTCCTGAAAGTGTTGTGATTGCTTTAGTTGATACTTACTGATTCACACCAGCTGAGGAGTTTGATTTTACTCACTCCAGTCTTTTCCTGCAGTTAGAGAGGCACCGAGAATTTTGTCAGCCACTCCAAAGGCTTGCAGGTCCAAAGTCCTGATAAACTGAAGCTTCACAAATTAAATAAAAAGGCTTATTTTGGAAAGAGTATATGAAGACAGTGCAGTGTTCTTCATGGCAAATAGCTGTCAAAATGCATTTTTTTGTGGTAGTAGTCATGTGATTTAAAAAAAATAAATCTCATGTGAAATTGTAGTGATCACACTTGATCCATTTGATGCCAAAGTTAGTTATGATGCTAAATCATAGAACCATAGAATAGCTTGGGTTGGAAAGGACCTTAAGATCATCTAGTTCCAACTCCCCTGCCATGAGCAGGGACACCTCGCACTAAACCATGTCGCCCAAGGCTCTGTCCAACCTGGCCTTGAGCACCGCCAGGGTTAGAGCATTCACAACTTCCTTGGGCAACCTATTCCAGTGCCTCACCACCCTCACTGTGAAGAACTTCTTCCTTATATCTAATCTAAACTTCCTCTCTTTAAGTTTGAAGCCCTTACCCCTTCTCCTACCACTAGAGTCCCTAATGAAGAGCCCCTCCCCAGCATCCTTGTAGGCCCCCTTCAGATATTGGAAGGCTGCTATGAGGTCTCCACGCAGCCTTCTCTTCTCCAGGCTGAACAGCCCCAACTTTCTCAGCCTATCTTCATATGGGAGGTGCTCAGTATCAGAGCACTCATAAACACAGGCACGTTACAAAAATGTAGTTTTCAGAAATTTTCTTCTTCATCCGGCTCTGCTCATTCAGTTGGTAAGGTTGGTAGTTGCCAATTATTACAATGTTTTATATGATTGTTGTATTTTGCTCCTAATATATGCAGGAGGAGGGGAAAAACAGCAATTAGGAAAGGCCAGGGCAGATGAGAAGAATAAAATAAATTGATGGAATGCTTGTGTCATCAGGCATGTATCTCAACCTGGAGTAGGGAGTATGAGGAGGCACTGGAGTTGCATTGATATGGAAAACTAAGCTCTGCAAGGAAACCTACGGCTCCAACAGTCGAGAAAATTCATAGTTTAGTATCTAGTAAGTTCGGAGCCATTCAAAGATGAATTAAGAAGATGAAATTTTGAAAAGCTAATTAAAAGCAGAGCTCAGAAAATTGAGATGCACTTACATTCCCTTATCACAATATTTGCTCCTGAAAATACTAATTTTTGATCTCTGTGGGTAGTGTTTCATTGTTCCCTAATCCTTTTTGTTTTCCCTGTCCAGGCACATAAGGAAGGCAATCCTTGGAAACAGAGAGAAATGAATGGGCATACAGCGGTGCCACATTCCTACGACTATGATCTCATTGTCATTGGTGGGGGTTCTGGTGGTCTGGCAGCTGCCAAGGTATGAGAAAGAAAATACAGATTTATACTTGCCTTGTAAGTAGGTGGGTGACATCCTCAGCGTCTTGGATCTGGGTATCTTTAACACTGTAGGGACATAACATTTCTACATGTTCAGTGGCATTTCTTTTGAGCTTACCGCCAGTTATACAATAGTAATTTCCTTATATTTTGAAGAAGGGAAACATAACAATGTCATGGTATAATTCTTAGTAGAATGAAACTTGGTCCCCACTACTGGGAGATGATGCTGTTGGAAAACACCAGGTAGGTATCTCAACAATGTTTATTAGTAGTTGAATTAAAATTCAACTCATAATTGAAAAAGTTTTTAAAACTATTCAGAATTAATATTGGGAGGTTTCTGGTTTTATTTGAAAGTAGTATCTTTTCAGAAATAGTTGTGAATGTTGTTTTGTTTCTTGACAATCAGGGAGATTTTGTGATTTGTGAGCTTACATAGTTGTGTAAATGGAGATTTTGCCTGTACTTCAGCAGAGTTAGGATCTCGCCCTTCATTTCTAGGACCTGGTACTTCCTGCTTGTAGCCAAATAATTTATGATTCTAGGTTAGGGTATTGCTTTCAGAAGCATATCTAGAATTAAGAGAATCCACAGTGGTGCAGAATATACCAGCTCTTAGGGTTGTTATTATCCCAGATACTTGAAACTTGCTGAAATTTAATGTAAGTCACTAATTCTCCCTTATATCAGTAGTTAGGCACATTGTGCCTCTTCTTACTGTGTCAGAATGAACTATTTAGAAGTGAATTGAGTGTTCCTTAGAAATAATGCTATTTTGTTGCTCCAGACCTAAAGCTGGATTATTCCTCTAGATAGGAGGCATTTCTTTTGTTCTTGGGAAGTGAAGAAGGTAAATTGAGAAGTGAAAGAAAATGAGGAGAAAATATTTCAGCATAGAATGGGATTCACACCAAACCTCGGTCCCTTAGATGAACTTCTGTTGTAATGGAAAAGTGTGGTGCTGAGTGGTGGATTGTAATGTGCCATATGTCCATGATCTATTCCAGTAATTTACTGCTTTTACATCAATAGGCACGGTATTGTCATGGAATAGGATGGAAGATAAGATCACTATGAGGGCAGTGAGACATTGGAACAGGTTGCCCAGAGAAGCTGTGGCTGCCCCATCCCTGGCAGTGTTCAAGGCCAGGTTGGACAGGGCTTGGAGCAACCTGGTCTAATGGAAGGTGATTGCCCTGCCCATGGCAGGGGATGTTGTAGCTAGGTGATCTTTAAGGTCCCTTCCAACCCAAACCATTCTGTGGTTCTGTGATCTATAAAAACTCTGGTATCCTGCAAAGAGAAGCAGACACTGGTTTTCAGAGGATGGGGATGTTGTAGCACAGAAGAGAGTAACTAGTAAAAGGGAGCTTGCAGTAGTGCAAAACCAATCTGCAGTAATAAAAAGCCATCTGTTGAAGTTTCCATAAGGAGACTGCTCTGCTTTGTTGTATACATATGGTAGGTGATGAAGCTACAGCAGTGATGTTTATTGCATCATTTTTCAGCTGTGGGACAGAAAAGGTATGTAGCTAGGAAGATAAATTGCCTTATTCCTTCAATTCTCAGTTTAAAGTATATTGCTTATTAGTGTTCTCGAGTGATTGCAGAGTAGAGCAGGAGATGGTAGAGCAATAAAGTCAACACACTATCAAGAGTAGTATGTGTATTTCAGATCAGTTTCACGAAGCCGAAGTGAAACTGGTTTATACCCATGAACTTCTGACTTATTTGAATTTTCTTCTAATGTGAATTAAGTGCTTTAAAAAGCAAAACAAAATGAGGAAAAAAAACCCAAACAACTACTACACAACTCTTATACCAAGTTCCAAATATCTACCCTGAAGTGTGCAGCAGTTTATCTAGGTTGATTAAATGTGTGCTTTTCACTATGACACATGCAGCTTTGTGTGCACGTCTTCCTTTTCCTCTCTGTATTGTGTCCAAGGTTGTATTTTTGGAGGTGTCTCTCCAAGGTGAGTGCAAATGCTGCCAAGCTGACTTTGTGCAACCCACTGCAGACAGACTGAAGTGCCAGGCCTTTACTATCAGTTCACACAGGACAGCTCCAGCCTTAAGCAACCTTGTTGTGTTCATGCAGCACTGCATTGCATGAACACAAACCAGTAAGGTTAGAGAGCCTGCGGGGCAGGTTTTGTTACTGTGGGCATATCATCCTGCAGAAGTGGTTATATCTGCTTGTGGTCTCTATCAAGGTGGCAACACAATGCTGTGCTGTATTATGTGAGCGTGTAGCTGAGTGTAAGCTTGGGAATCCATGCATTCTACTTAGCTAACACTAGTAAAGCTCTTCTGAGCTGGGTGTAAGAGTTGTCATTATAAAGGAGCATTAATAACATGTCTCAGTCCCTAAGCACCTTTCTGAGGAACTTTCTCAGAGGTGCGACTGATGGATAGAAGATTCCTTCTTGGCAAGTCTTGACCTTTATCAGAAGCAGAAATGCAGTACATTACTATTTTCCAAAGGTGTCAACAGCCTTCATTGTTTGAAATATGATTTGTATTTTGCATGAAATAAGATACATTTAAAATAGAGATTCTGATTGTTGAGTGTTTGGATTAACAAGTATTACTGGTAAAGTAATACTGAAGGCTGCCTAGCTCCTCCCAAACCAAACCCAAGGCCTCAGGGTAGTATGCTGTGCCTATACTTGTCGTTGCTTGCATGTCTTAAGAACTCATCATGTGATGCAGCAAAGTTGTGTTTGCTCTAAGCATTAAACTTATTTTGCTGCATCTCACAGGGGAATCCATCGTTGTTGTTTCTCCGCTATGTAGTACTTACTTAAGTGTTTTTCTCTGGTACCAGTTATCACTGATGGTTTTTGCCTTTTTCTTTAAAAGCACAAAGTGAACAATGGAATCAGTATAGAAATTCCAGTTCTCAGTACCATTTACACACAGTGATTGTAGATTTGCTAATGAAGCTTCTCAGGGGAAATAACATGAAATAAACTATCACTTCTCTAGTCTGGATGAAATCTGCACAGTAAAGTAAACTTACTAAAGGTTGTCTAGCTTGAAGAGCAAGAGCTGGTCCTGACAACTACAGATTGTACTTAAGTGTTTCCTTCTACAAGAAAAAAAGTTTGGATAAGCACAGTTGTGATGCTTCACCACATGACTGCTTATGTCACTGTGTGTTATCGTTTCAAACAAATGTTTGGGAAACCATCTGTGAAGGGAAAACTGGGTTAATGAAGAATTGGTTAAATATGTAAAAAGTAAATGGCCTGTTGGGAGGTAGTGTGAACAAACCGACAGGATGGAGAAGAGGAAGTTTGACTCCCAGGTATTCTGCGTATCCACTGGTGCCATGTTGTTGTGTAGCAGGAAGAATGCTTTTTTTTTTCCTTTCATCTTTTTTTTCCTATTGAGTGTACAGATTAATTCAGAAGATTAATGACTGTCTGGCTGTTCCCTTGCAAATCATTCATTATTCCTTAATTAAAAGTCACAAAGCTTTTCAGCAATGCATGAAGTTATCATCTACTCCAAATTTAACCTCTAATATTTAGATATGTGTCTTAATTTGTTTTGCAGGAGGCTGCCAAATATGAAAAGAAAGTGATGGTGCTGGACTTTGTCACGCCTACACCTCTGGGAAACTCATGGGGTAAATTTCTCTTCATTGCAAACTTGTTGTAAAGGAGCTTTACTTAGAGACTCTGATTCTCCTTTGAGATCAGCAACACTGATGTGAAAAACACATTCTCCTCCTCTCTCTCAGGTCTTGGAGGAACATGTGTAAATGTGGGCTGTATACCTAAAAAATTGATGCACCAAGCAGCTTTACTGGGACAAGCCTTGCAAGATTCACGTAAATTTGGATGGCAGTTCTCAGAAGAAGGTAAAGGAGGAGAACACTTCAGTTTTGTCATTTGTGCTGAAAACAGAGGTTTTTTTCACAATGAAGCGCTTGTTGCAATTCAGCATCTGCTGGCTTTAACAATGTGAGGCAACTTCAGAGAGATTACACAGAAACTAAGTGCTTTTCAAGTCTAAAGCCATGATGCTTATTGCCTTGCAGCGTTTGATCTGTTTATTAGTAGCTTCTGATCACATTAGTGTTTGATAAGATTGCTGTGTGAATAAAAGCAGTAAGGTATTACTCTATTTCTAAATGTAGTGCAACATCTAAGGAAATACCCCGGAATGTCCACTGTTAAAACTTCCTGATAATTGCAGGCAAGGATTTCTTTTCCCTTCCCTCAGTTGCTGTCACTACTATATAAGAAGACAAATTTTATTTTATATTGGCTCTAATGTGCATGTGTCAATAGAAAACTATGGATAATGCAGTAAGTCTAATTTTCCATGGCTTATGTCATGTCTGTTCTGCTGTGACCTCTCATGTTGTCTACACTGATGTAATTATTTGAATTTCAGTAGTTACCCTGGAATAAAAAAAGAGTAAGACAGAGGTGGCTGGGTCATGAAAAAAAAAATCTGAGGAAAAGAAGACTGAAAGATGAACCTTTCTCTTTTGTTTCTAACAGTCAAACACAACTGGATGACTATGACAGAATCTGTTCAGAATCACATTGGTTCACTGAACTGGGGCTATCGGGTTGCACTGAGAGAGAAAAAAATCACATACGAGAATGCATATGGAGAATTTGTTGGGCCACACACAGTTAAGGTACTCCTTAACCATGTTTGCTGGGTCTTCCTATAGTACTTTCTGAGTATAAATGCTTTTAAAATAGAATATTTTTTCCTTTGGTAGGACTGCGAAATACTCACTTTGGACTAATACTTTGTCCACAGGCAACAAATAAAAGAGGAGTTGAGAAGCTGTACACAGCTGAGAGATTTCTCATTGCCACTGGTGAACGACCACGATACCTGGGTATACCTGGAGACAAAGAATACTGCATTAGCAGGTAATACCAGGGAGGAATATGAACTCATTCACCATGTGTAAATGCTTCACCTGTAATAGAAAGTGGTGAAGCACGAGCAGGGCTGCTTGGTTGCTGGTTTTCTTTCCTATGTAACTTTTTGTTAGACGCAAGTAAGCACAGAACAGCTATAGACAGATTTTAAAGTACAGAAAATATTAGCATCTAGTAGACAGCTATAGAGACATTTTAAGGTACAGAAAATACTAGTGTCTGGTAGACAGTACAGGATTGTGGGTGGCTGATCAGGATGGTTCTGTCTCTGACCGATAATAGCAGTAACTGAGAACAACATGAATCACGTGCCTGTCCATTACAAAACTAATTCGTCAGCTCTGTCCCAGTTCCCCGTACACCTGCTTCCTCTCTATTCCTTATGGTCTTTCTGTTCACATACTGAAGGTTTTTTTGGTAATGAAGAGCACAGTCTGCTTGGAAGAAATCTCCCTGCTCAAATACCAAGGAAAGTGGGAGTTGCAAAGCAGTTGATGCTGTGAAGCCAGTAGAAATGTATCTGTCTTCATGCATCAGAGCAATCTTGAAACTCAACCCAATTTTTCTCCAGCTGCTTAGTGAAGTTAATTCAGCTTTTGGGAAAACTGGTTTCAAATGTCTGATTAATTGTTAAGGCCCATGAATTCTAGCACAATTTTGACCAAGAATAAAAAAAGTGATATGCAGATGAAATGTGTTTTCGTATCAGATTAACTTTTAAGTTACTTAATGCAGAATCGGAAGTTGGAATTACAGGCTTGTAAACCTAAAGCAATAAAATAATTAGCTGGCATAATCTGTGTGAAATTAAAACACCATGTTGTATGTTTCCCTTCTAATAAGTATTACTGAAATTAAAGGTAACAGATAATACATGTTGCCTGCAAAGTGGTGCTTGAAAATAACATTAAAGCCAAAGAGTCAGGAGTACAAGAGTTAAAGACTATCAGATTGAGGCAGTCTGTGTAATCTTCCCTGGGTTCCCTGAGGGATAGGAGCTATTATGTAGCCTTTAATTATACAATCACATTTTATTCCGCTACAACGTTTGCAGAGAGCATCTTTGTAGCCTTTGCAGTTGTTGGCTAAGATAGAGACACTTGCTTTAGATTTAAATTTTTGGAGAACTGCATTGTCAACCTCTGCTTAAATACCTGTTGAGCAAGCGTGATGTTTCCATGAGTCCCTGCTTCCTTGAGAAGCCCTAGCTTTATAGTCTAGGTCCAAAGTGTGGTAGATCTGACGTAGCTTGGTGAAGCAGTTGAAAGAAATGGAAAGCAAGCACATAAACATATCTTCCATAATTTCCTACTTCTGCCTCTGCCTGTGGCTTGCATTCATTTACTTCACTGTCTGTATATAGTTGGCACTGTTTATAATGCTTTAGTGAAAGGAGAAGTCTTTGAAGAACTGAATGTGGTATTTTTACCATAAAGCTGAACCCCTTCCTCTTTTTTTTTAGCTCTCAAGAGCTAAAATTCCCAGGAAAATATATTTGTAGCAAGATTCACATTAAAAAAAAAAACCAACCAACTTATCCTTTGTTATCAATTTGTCATAAGTTTCTGGGCAGGGGATGGGGGGAAGGACAATTTTTGTGGTGATACAGAATTTTCATACTCCTTTTTTTTGGTGTGTGTGTGTACTCCTAATTAGAACTTTCTAATCTGTCATTGCAGCTGAATTCCCTCAAAATTAAATTATTGGGTTTATTTAGTGAGCAAGAAGGAGGAATAAAGTCCTATTCTTATAGAAAAGAAACTAGATAAATATAAAGCACAGTACATCCTTCTGGTTTTGTCTAACTTTCTTCTCTTTTTTTCCCCCATTTTTGTTTTTGCCAGTGATGATCTTTTCTCTCTGCCTTACTGTCCAGGGAAAACCCTGGTGGTTGGAGCCTCCTATGTTGCCTTGGAATGTGCAGGATTCCTTGCCGGTATTGGATTGGATGTCACTGTAATGGTGAGATCCATTCTCTTAAGAGGATTTGACCAGGATATTGCAAACAAAATTGGTGAATATATGGAAGGACATGGAATCAACTTTATTAGGGAGTTTGTGCCCATTAAGGTAAGCTGCAAGTGTTACATGACTTTGTGAGATTACAGAATTCATTGATTTTGTTAGGTGAATTAGTATATGTTGCATTCAAAATGTTGTTATTCTTGTTTATTGTGGTCCTGCAAATGTTGAATATATTTAAATTCAGAAGTTGTCCTGAAATCTGTGAAACTTCTTGCAGACTTATAGTTAAGCAAATATATTATTTCTTTTAAGATCAGGGCCAGTGCATCACAAACAGTCATACCTTTCATGCTGGTTCTCAAATTCTCAGCCAGCAAATGCTTCTTATGTGGCCAGGACCAGTGAGCTATCTGAAAAAGTAAATGGGGTTCAGAAGTATCCATCTATATCCTTTACTTGGCAGAGTCCTTAAATACTTGCTCGGTTTTTGTTGGATTTGGTAGGAGTACTCATGCAGCTAGTTATGTATAGGCAAATTCAGGTTGAAAAGCAGATTAGTTAAATTCTGGAGCTTTTCTAATGTAAAATTGCCTTCAGAGGGTGCTTATTTTTCTTAATGTCTTTTCACTATAGTTAGTGCTCAGTTATTATGAAATGGGAAATAATGTGTTAAGCTATTTCCAATTTGATGTTAAGCCAGCATGCTAAGGAGTTTAATGCTTTGGGGATTAAATCATTAAATTGAGTGCAGACTATTCCTTTTCACCCTTACCACTATCAAGAGTAGCTTAAAAACTGCTCTTGCCAGTAGCCATGCTTTGGGTCTGGCCGTCTCTCTCAGAGTGTGGGAGATTTGCTGAGATAAGTCAAAGTGGATGTTTCAAGGGATTTTGGTTTGACGCATGTTTACATTGCAGAAATCCCATGTTGTATGAAAAGCAGGGATGATTATCTAGCTTTTCTTTCAGGCATAGCTTTTTGTAGGCTCTAATGGGTGATGAGAAAGGAGGAAGCTCTTTTACATGCAGGTGAGCTTCTCCAGGCACACCCTGTGAAAAGCAGTCCCTCACCCTATTCACAAAATGCTCTTTTGTGTATTTTGCCCTGACCCTTCACTACATGACTTTGATTTCAATAGAAATTAAATATGTGGTCCTGTTTCAAGTTGAGAATATCCTTAAACTTAAATTGCTGGATATGTTTTTAGTAGGTCGTCTTGTCTCTTTGAAACACTGTTTTTGAAATTTTGCATATTGTGCTTATTAAAACCCTTCCTTGGGATGTTTGAAGACAGAAAAGGAATTATTATAAATAATGCTGCCTTTGAACAGGAGCAATTTAAAACAGTGATCCTTTAAAGTCAGTAGGATGGCACAGGCGGCTTTTTAAAATTAAAAATATAAAAAAAAAAAAGGACAGGAAAAACTAGAACTTTGTCAGAAACTTTGCTTTTTCTCTCTCTAAATACTGAATATGAAGCAGGAAGTAGGGAAGTTGTTGAAAAGCACTTTTTCATCTGTAGAATGAACACTAAAATTTCCTGGAGTTGTGTTGCACATTTGCGTGTCTCTTACATTGTACAGCCAGCTGTAGGAAGCAAGTGGGCACCTTGCTTTTTCCTAGGGGAGGGTAAGGAAAGGACTGCAGCTGAGGACAGTAGAAATGAGGACAAAATATAACCCACCTGTGTAGCTTCAAAAAGATACATTTCCATATATTTATTTGAAACTAAACCTTTTTTTTCTGCCCCCCCTCCAATGTTGTAGGTTGAGCAGATTGAGGAAGGAACTCCTGGAGTATTGAAAGTTACATCCAAGTCCACAAAGGGGAATGAAATAATTGAAGGGGAATACAATACTGTGAGTCCTGTCTATAAACATACAGAATGTAAAATGTCCTTCCATTTAATGCTGAGACTTTTGTGGGCTGTGTTTATCCATAATTTAGATTTTAATTATTTTAATCATTACAGTATGCTAATTGGACAAATCAATGGGTAATTAATATGACTAAAGTCCCAGAATCCATGGGCGCTGGATCACTTGCATGCCTTTGCAACCTGTTTCTTAGCTTAGGCATGTAGATGAGCTTGGTCATGTGGAATCAGTTGCAAGATTTTTCCCCAGTGGGATATTTGTCATAAAAGATAAGTAATGATTTATAATGGCTTTCTTAGTAACTAAAGCATGTTCTGGAGTTAGCACAAAACAACGGTCTGTGCAGGAGCTGAACAAACAGCTCTCATGTCGTCTTCTTAAGACCTCTGGTTGACGCAGCATCTTCATAAAAACAACACCCCGTGGCAAGTCAGACAACTTCCTGACACACTTAAAACAGTAAAATTGCAGTGGGTGGATATGTCATTATATGTTTGATTGACTGTTTCCGTCACCTCTCACCCCACTCATTTTCTTGGGCCTTGATGATGAAAGGAAGAAGAAAGTAAGTTGTGAATAAATTATTTGGAACTATGCAGAATGCATAAAGACAAACATTTGCAAGCCTGGGAATTTAGATTGCAAATAATATGTGCCAGTGACCTCATTTACCTGTATAGTGCACCAGTCATCCCAAAACGAGGACATGCCTCAGTGCATCCAAGGGCCAGTATTACGAGAAAGTTTACAAAAACAGAAGTGCTGTTGCATAGTGTTGCAATACTATTTTTCCTGGTCCATAGCAGTGAAAGCTTTCTAGCTAGCAAATCTTTTCATTAAGGAAACATCTGGTTTGTTATTGCTATTGCATCTTTCACAGAAGTGATGTCACTCCTCATAGCTATGAGCTGTGTTGGATGCATTTTAAAACCTTCAGCTCTGAAGATCTGGCATGTTTGGTCATCTAAAAGACTTGACACAGATCTCTGTTTCCTTCAGCACAGTTCTTAGTTGTCGTATGAGGCATTGTATAGTTACCTGGACAGTTGTCCAAGACTGCAAAGCACATAACACTTTTCCTTGTGGTAGTATAGGCTGGAACTTTTTCTACTTGTTAAGGTAGCCAAGGTGATAGGATGTGTAGGAATTTGGCCTGGTCTGTCCATCATTCTGAGCAAATGTTCAAACAAATAATATTCAACAAATAATATTCTTTAACAGTGACTTGGCTGAGAGACCCTTCCTTTTATAGAGCATTTTGAGCTTACCTGTTCTAGTGGGACATGTAATAACACTTCAGTATAGAAGTTGAGGAGATAAGGAATCTGACCCTAACCAGTTTGTTTAGAATGCTCTAGGGGTATTTTTCCAGGGAAAGCTTTTTTGCTGTATTTAATCTCATTAAAACCTGGTATTGTTAAGTCATGGTAGTGGTGTGGCTTGTCTTGAAGTCTGCGGATGTACAATGGGTCATAAGCATACACATCTTAATGTGACCAAGCCTTAGATACTAATCCTTAGTATATAATGAAAATAATAGCCACATGAAAACGCACTTTTGAGGTTTTAAAAACTCAGTAACGGGCATTGCTGTTTTGCAGGTGCTGCTAGCAATTGGAAGAGATGCATGCACAAGGAAAATTGGTTTGGACAAGGTTGGAGTGATTATCAATGGAAAGTAAGGACAGATGTCTGTATAGCACTCACTGTGCTGAGCTTGTGTCACTTATTGTTGCAATGGTACTGGTGCATAGACATTTAAATGCTTTGATGAAAAATTTGTTTCCTGTTTGCATAGACTTGGATAGGAGACTGTGTAGCAGTTAACTGCATTTTCTGCTCTATTACTACCACATTTGCTTTTTTGATACTGCAGTGTTAATTCCTAAATGCTGGGGGTCAAAAGTGTCTGTTCCATTCTGTCCAGGCTTACAGGGCAGTTTCAGCTTCTTCTAGTGACAGAGCTTTCTAGAATCTGTCAGGTGTTCCTTGTGCTCTCTTAATCCCACGTCCTTGTTTTTCTCTGTACCATTTCTTGGGGCAGAGATCTGTTTGTTCATACAGGCTTTTAGTGGCATTTGTTTAATGAAAATGCTACTATATGCTTATTTTGAAATAAAAGGTCAAAGTAGCATTACTTAAACTCATAGTTGGAGTTTGATGTGTTTTAGGTTTTGGAGGAGCTTATTTCTTGCCTTAGAGCAAGCCTTGGGAACGATCTGTCTCCTGTAGAGGAGCATTTCATGTTCAGTGTAGTGAGACTGTTGTACCAGGGAGTGGAGCTATCTGTAATATTTTCAGTTTTGGTAACTAGAACATTTTCTAGGCATGTGAGATCTAGATGATCTTGATGACACAGGATCATGAACTAGATTTGGTAGTCTATGGATAAACAGTGCAGAGGGCAGCTTATGTATGAACGCAGTAAGGGAACTGTTGCGACGTTTTGAAGTGGATATTTTGGTCCACTTAAATTCAGCAGACCCATGTTGTCTTTTGTTACGGTACACGCCTTTCTGACATCAGGACACCTATTTCTAGCTTAATAGAATGAAGTATAAAATTGTTAGCATAAACCATATATTTGTTAACAAGAGCAAAAGTGAGGAGGTTGAGTTTTAATACAGGAATTGCTGCTGGTCCCTTAAGTAGCTGTGTGACTGCTTCTATGCCTGTCTGTTTAGGTTTCCCTGTTACATGTGTTTCCTGCAGTGATTACTGCACTATCTCATTTATTAATGAAGTAGGAAATACTAATAATTAAAACCTTCCATTAGGTCAGCACACTTATAGCTAAAATCTTGGTGGCTGTCCCTTAAGTAGGGTGTCTAACAGCTTGACCTGTCTCTGTGTAGAAGCCTGAAGGGTAAGTTAGTAGAAACTGCTTCAGCTACTGGACTGGAATTTCAGCGATGGAGAAATTCTTTTGTCCTACAGCTCGAGTGGGAGAATGTCTCTTCTTGTCATTCCTCAAGGTTGCCAGTACACAGCTCACGGTAGAGGGTGTTTGAGGAAAGGATTTATACCTCACCAGAGAATTGATTCAGGAGATTAATTGCAACTTCACAGGCTACCACCTTATCCAGTGTGTAGATTCCTGTAGTTTTGGTCAAATTTGTACTGCTTTACATTCTTGTCCAAGTTCGTAAGATTGAGAATGTGGCTTCTTTCCTTCATGCTTCAGATACATGTCTTTCTCTTAAAGCTATAGGGCCTAACTCCTAACTGGAGGTTATTTATACCTCCAGTCTTCACAGAACACTCAAACCTTTTTTCTTGTTAATTCAAATTGCAGAACAGGAAAAATTCCTGTCAACGATGAGGAGCAAACAAACGTGCCGTATATCTATGCAATTGGAGATATACTGCAGGACAAGCTGGAGCTCACACCAGTGGCAATCCAGGCAGGAAGGTTGTTAGTTCGAAGGCTTTATGCTGGAGCAACCACTAAGGTAAGGACCTAATTGCCACAAAATGCTGTCATTGCTCTAAGACTTCTAAATGCAGTGTGCAAGTCTGCTTGTTTATGGAAAACTTGGTAGGCTTTTAAGGATTAGCTTTGATCACTTTAATTTTCTCCTTGCAGAGATACTACTGCAGATATGTTCTGCAAATTGTGTAAGAAGAAATTAATACCGTACTGGATTAAGCAGTAGTTTCTTTTTTTCCTATTAAGAGGCTTTATTTTTCTTTGAGTAATAAAATTACCTGAGATCATTTAACTTGTTCTTAACTCTGCCACCTTCCCTAGAAGTCAATAATCATTCCCATCCCACTAAATGCTTTAACTCTAATTCATAGGCAGTTTACTAAGCCTACATACAGTCCCTGAATAGAGTGCAATAGGGATTTGAGATGCTCTTAATTTTCAGTGTTACCACCACTAATTTTTTCAGTTCTCATCCATGTGTTCAATGTAGTATATAGTTCTGCTTATAATTGAATGTAAACACAAAGGAAGATGAAATGTACCAGTAAGCCAGCAGGTATTTATACTGAGAAGTTGAATTCATCAATTCAGTGTTTATTTCATACCAGTGCAATTGTAGGTTTCAGTCAAGTTATGCTAGTCCAAATGGGAGTAACATGGGTACTCATTTACACCTTAACTTTAAACTAGGAGGAGAGTGCCTTTAAAGAACTGTTATCCAGGCACTACTGATGTGAGAGCTTGTCTCACCTTCATAACCAGAGGGCAGGAGCATAAAGGGTTTTCGCTTTCAGAGCCTGCAGTATGCATATCAAGTTCAGCTGTCGGCCAGATATAGAGCTTGATTGAGTTGTTTATTTTAGGTTGGCAGGTATTGCAGTAACAGAATCCTGCATCAGTGTGCCTAATGTCATTACGTCAGCCAGGCCGAGTTTAAGCTGGAGCCAGACTTTTTTTCTTGCTGCAATACTATGGATATGTCTTAATTTATGTTTTATGACAGATAACTGTCTCTCAAGGTATGAAAATCCTTATGGTGCCAAAGAAAGCATCATCTCTTTCAGCGAATCCAAGAAATGAGTAATTACTTAGATAGGAACATGTCTTACATTGCTGTTGTAACAAATCTGGAAGGGGTGATCGTATGGAACATAATGAAGTGTTACAGATAGGTGGGAAAGAATAGTAAGTAACATCTCAATTGATCCCTAGTCACAAAGGAAGTAATTAGAGTTGGAATCCCTAGAAACTAAAATTACTAGGAATTAAATAGAGCTGACCAGCCTGCTAGTCTGCTGTGCCACAATGACTAATCTGCTGGGTACGGGGATAGCAGTGGATGTTCTTTGACTCAGGTAAAGACTTCTGGCAGTGTCTCCACAACATTCTCATAGACAAACTGATGAAGTACAGGCTGGATAAGCGGGCAGTGAGGTGCATTGAGAACTGGCTGAACTGCCAGCTTTAAAGGGCTGTGACCAGCTGAATGCCAGTCGCTCGTGGCGTGCTATAGGGTTAGATACTCAGTCCAGTACTGTTTAGCATCTTCATTAATGATTTGGATGATGAGACAAAGTGCACCCTCAGCAGGTTTGCAGATGATAGAAAACTGGGGGTAAGTGAATGATGCAGCCAGTGTTTGTGCTGCCACTCAGAGGGACCTTGTCAGGCTGGAGCAATGGGCTGACAGGAATCTCATGGAGTTCAGCAAGGATATGTACAAAGTCCTGTGCCTGGGAGGGTGTAACCCCATGCACCAGCACAGGCTGGGGGCCTACCAGCTGGAAAGCAGCTGTGCAGAGAAAGCCTCAGGAAGGTCTGGAGGACAAGTTGACCGTGAGTCAGCAATGTACCCTCATGGCAAAGAAGGCCAGTGACATCCCGTGCTGCATCCTGCAGATGCAGCCTGGCAGAGAATTGCCAGCAGATGAAGAGGTGAAGTGACCTTTACCCCTCCACTTGGCTCTGGTGAAACAAGTTTGGATTTTGTGTCCAGTTTGGGGCTCCCCCAGTACAGGAGAGACAGGGCAAGTCCATCAAAGGGCTATGACTAATTAAGGGACTGGAGCAAGAGGAGAGGCTGAGTCAGCTGGGAATTTTTATACCCTGCAGAAGACATGGCTGTGGGGCTCTTATGTCGATGTGTATTTATACCTGATGATAGAGAGTAAAGATGGAGAGTCTTGCACTCTCTCCAGCAGTGCAAGGACAAGAGGCAATGGATTAAAACTGAAAACCAGGAAAGTTTCTTTTAAACATAAGAAAAAACTTCTTTACAGTGAGAGTGATCAGGCCCAGAGGTTGCCCAGAGAGGGAACCTCTAGAACACACTAAAGCTCCAGTGAAGTCAGGGTCAGTGTTTGCCTCTCACGGTATGTGATTGGGCACACAGTATCGGTTCTAGTTCTAGCTGTGCCCCCAAATAGCTGTAGTTCATGTCTTTGGTTCTTTGGCATTGCCTGGGCCACAGTTGATAAAACATGATGGTTTTTGGATGGTGGTGGTTTCTTTGCAGCATCCCCAGCTAAAAATAGCATGCTTTGTAGAAGCAGTTCAATGGTCTACTTTTTATCTCCTGTTTGATCTGTGATCTGGTACGTTTTTAAAAAGGGCATTGGATTTCCTCTTTCTTTTAATCTATGCATACTAATGGCAGTGTGGCTTTAAATTGTCTTTCTGTTTAAGGATTAGGAATAATCCAACTTTCTTTCCTGTCTTCAGGCTGCTGAATTTTTACCCACTGTGCTGATTTTATTACTGATGTTGTGTTGTGTTTTGTTTCGCATGCCACGCAGTGTGACTATGTGAATGTTCCAACTACTGTGTTCACTCCTTTGGAGTATGGAGCCTGTGGGTATTCTGAAGAGGCTGCGGTGGAGAAGTTTGGGGAGGAAAACATTGAGGTAAATGCCTTGGATTCATCTGGATTTAAAGTTTCCAATTTGTAATTTAAAATAATGTCAAGAATCAACTAAAACAGCATTCTGTGCTCTGATGTAAGCCAGGAGGTGACTAGGTACATTTTTATCTTCCTATGTTATAAAAATAGTCCCCAATTCCAATAGCTCTAATTGCAGATAAGTTCCATTTTTAGCAAACGGGGCTTGAAGGTGGAATATTTGGTTTAAAAATAAAACACGGTTTCTTTGTGTCTGTAAATACTTAAGGATAAATTAAAGCTGTGTATGTGCTGGAAGCAATACATAGGTTTTAATGTCAAAGTGGATGGAGCTTTTTGCAGCTACAGTGTGGCAAATTCCTTGCCATGGTGATTTTTAGTTTATAAAACCAAATATTATGCTCATTTTTTCTATCTTGACTACGCAGGGAGGTGTGTGCTTAATTTTACTCACGTGAGTAATCCTTCTAATTCACTGGCATTGCTGATCAAGAGTGAAATTAGACATATGTAAGCATTTAGTGCCTGAGGCTGTTCTTACAAAGCACTGTACAGAAATTACAGAAAGCATGAGGGGAGGGAATCTGGCAACAAACTGAACTGTTACGTGCCATGAAGATCACCTGAGGAGAATTATTTGGGGAAATACACAGATAAGTTGTGATTCATGACGCTGAGAACTTGTCTCCCTTTTAGCTTTGTCAACGAGATTTTTTTGAATTGGACTGTGGCAAAAAGAAGTAAATAGAGAAGTGTGTCAGGTACTGTTAACTTGGCTACAGGGCAAAAGCTTAAGTTCTTTTCTGCCCACAAAGTTTGTACATACCCATTCAAATTTTTGTCACTGAGTCGAAGTCTTACTGGTCCATTGTGGGACACTGGACTCTGTTGTGGAAAATGCGCTTTCGATTTCCAAAGCCAATTTTTGAAATGTGCATCCAGAAACATTTGTGTCTGAGAGAGGGTTAAGAACTTACTCAGTTTATTCTGACCTCTTCGTCATGTCACCATATTGGCTTTTGCAAGCTTCAGTAAGATTATCGAGTTGCATCTGTCATTCAGACCTGATAAATTTCAATTTCCGATGGCGATATTTATGAATGCTTTGTAAGCCATTAATGAGGAAAAACATTGAACTATCTCTCCTAGTTCACTAAGAAATGTATTTTTTACTGGAATCGTGAGCAACTAAAACTTTGTTTCAAATAGTAATCAATTTGAGATTAGCTTGTAGTGAGAGCTGTTGGGAGTTCCAATTAGAACTGTGCCTTAAAACACCCCATCATTTTCTGAGATACATGCTGTACAGGTGGGCGAGCAGCCTTATCTGCAGTTACGAAGCTGTCCAGTGATGGTCTTTAGGGCAGACAGGCGTATGTGGTGGTGGTTTTTTTAATGTGCTTTCCATTTTGCACTGATACATAATCATCTCATCTGTCCTAAACCCAGGCTCTGAAGCTATTTCTTCCCTTTTTCTGCTCCGAGAAATATCTTTGCCTTTGTTCCAGGTAGAAGCAGACGCAATACAGCCTTCTGCAAGCAAAGGTTGTAATTGTCTAGGTTAATGAGAGCATGATGAACTGCATCCGGGAAGTGTAATATGCTTATGGCTTTTTTTTCTTCTTTTTTAATTATTGGATGACACTAGTGCTTGTTTTGTAGAGGCTTCCTTTGACATTCATCAAGGGGAAAGA